AAATAACAATAATAGTAATAATAATAATAATAATAATAATAGTAATAATAATAATAATAATAATAATAATAATAATAATAATAAATTAGTGTTTCACCACTCGCTTGAGGTATTCAATGACTCCAGATATTATTCAGCTATGAGAAAGACTAAACTTTGATGACCCGAAACTTTGAAACTCGTTCTCCACAAAACTTTAATTACAAGTTTATTTACTAAAAGATTTTCAAAATATTTGCAAAATGCATTCATTTTAGAAATAAGAATAAGTTCTAATTGTACCAGCTTGAATTAAAAAAATAACGCATAGCTGAAATAACAATCCTTTGTTAATTGGATATGTTTTTCAATAAAAAGAATTGGATTTTGAATTTAACGCAAAGTTTATTCTTGTCTGTCAAAAATGACATCGCAAGGAGAAGAAATGAGAAAACAATAGTAGCCTAGATATATATATTAGAATAAATGCAAAATAGATGGAATTCATTAATTTGTTTATGAATTAAATTAAATCAATGAGAACCCAATAAGGTTTGTGAAATGGAAGGAAAGAGAGGGAGAAGACCAAAGGATGAATGAAATATTAATCGGAAGAAGTTTACAAAATACAGGAAAAAGAATATGATTTGTCACGCCTTGCATTATTTGAAAATATTCGGACCTCAGTAATATGTTTATTAGCTGTTAAAGGAAAAAGAACCTTTCTTCCTTCCATAGAATTCCTTCCCATTTGATTTTATTATTTTTAAGGTTGTTTGTTATTTTCAATGAGCTCTGTATTCAATAGTAAATCAGAGTGCACTCAGTAGGAAATATTTGAAAAGAATGAATTCAACAGAAATTATTCAGAAGGAATAAATTCAATAGGAAATATTCAAAAGGAATAAACTGAGTAGGAAATATGCTGAAGAATGTTTAAGGTATGTAATATAAATTGGGAAACAGACATACTCAATCTCAGCATTTATTTTAAACGATATTGGGAAAAGTAACATGGGAAAAACAGAAAGCATGAGAAGAGAGTGAATCTTTGAATTTTACCTCATTAAAGGCTAATATATTATCCATTCATCAATATCTCTCGCAACATAATACTATAATTTTATTCGCCAATTTTATATTAATTTCAATCATTTCTTGAATATGATTTGGTAGAGTGAATCATCATAGTCCAGTTCATAATTAACTCCATATGATATAACATGCTCTAAAACAACCGAACAGTCATAGTCTGCGAAATACGCGGACCTTCCAATTCAATTATACGCAGCATGACCTATACAAGAAGCAACATACTTAAGCGGAAGAAATGCTTATTGCACGCTAAGCGTTCGGTTCAATTTCTACCTGCTTAATTATAATTTAAGTTACAGTTAGCTTTGGCCATCTCAATTTAATCTTGTAATGCTATATTTGAAATCCAAGTTTTCTTCGAATTCAAAGTTTATGAAACTCTACTTCAAGTTCATTAATGAAAAATGAAAGTCCGAAAGCAGTTTATAATTTTCGACAAAAGGAGTATCTTAGAACTGAATCAAAGCTCTTCACAAATAATTATATCCCTTTTTTCAGTGAAAAAACGTTAAAACTCACTGATAGAAAAATCATTCTTAAATCAGAAAATTCAATACTAAATTGATTTGAAGATGCTACACTTCATGGTTACTGGTAGGCAAAAGTGGTTGTAAAAGTGGACAACTTATTACTTATCCACCAAGTATTTGCATATCAACAACAATAATAATAATAGTAATAGAATTGACCAGATTAGTAAAATTATTATATGAAACTAACTATATGGCTCCATTAATTGGATCACAAAAATAGATCAGACTGCGAGATAGAGATCAGTAAGGTGGCATCGAAAATATTTCCATGCTTTTCAAGCATTAATAAAAAATTCAAGAACTGACCCTCTCTTATGTCAACAAAATTTGAAAAATCGAATCCATCTTAACAATAGATATGAATGTCATATGTCGCACCATAAGGGGACATTTTCAAGCCTAAACTAATCGTAATAAACAAGTATATAGTAAATCGATGGTGCAAAAAAAAGTGCCCCAAATAAAAGCAAGCAAGAGAAGAGCGGGGATTACCTTGAGTGGATGAAATTGAACTGAGAAGAGGAGCAGATTATACTAATAAGAAGCAGACGGTTGAGGTAGTGCATTGAGCGGCTATTTAGTGGTAGCCGCTCGTGTTGCCACGATGGCCTGGATTACTAATCCTGCAATAGTGGCGTCTTGGTTAGCACTAATACACTGATTTGTTTTCTGGTTGCATGTTCCGAATCCCTCTTTCCATACACCATCATCTCTCTATCTGTCCTTCAAAAGAAAAATTCCAAACTTCGAAACGAATGAGTGAGTAATGACAACGTTTACTTCTTATTTACAAGTAATGCATTTGCTATGCTGTAAACAAATGAATCCAGCAATCAACACAAAAATAAATATATATCTGCTTATATATACACATATATATGCATTATATATATATATATATATATATATATATATATATATATATATATATATATATATATAT